AATAATAATAATAATAACAACTTACTGTTCTTCCCCAATTCCACCCGCAATCCCATTCAAATTCTTCATTTAGCCCCAAGTATAAAGACGAAGTTTTTTTCTTTAAGTGGTCATGGTTGACAACGGTGCTTTTTCTCCTACAGGGCTAATCGTAAATTACAATTATCCAATTAACAGTGAGTCATTTTTAGTTTCCTCTATTTCATGCCATATTACTATAATTATTCAACCACCTGCTTGAATTTAGCAACATTCTGGTAAGCACATATTTTAGGACGCCATTTTGATTTTCTTATTTGGAGATTTTTCTTTAAAAAAATTTTAATTACTTATTTGGGACTTGTTTGCATTTATTTGAAAAAATTCGGGACTGTAGTTGAAAATAATTTTTAAAATTTTTCTTCTCTTATCTTTATTTTATTTAAATAGAAGGATATATTTGTCATTTTTAATATTTTTATTAAGAAAATAGACAACATGGATAGTTTTGTACAACATGTCTAATAGGTGGAGGATTTTGCTATTTCTTTATTTTTTTTTCCTCATTTTCTCCTACTTATTGGGTTTAACGACTGTACAGACGGAATATGGAGTATTGCACAAGAAATGTTTGAAATAGGGACGTTTTGTGCTATTTTCAAAAGTTCCTGAGGTGTTCGGTAGCAATAGCAATAGGTAAAGGATGTTTGTACCTTAAATAAAAGGTCATTAACTTTTATTTGTTACCACACTTATATCCCTAACTTTTTTCTTCATTATATTCTTATTTTTATCATTTTATTGATAAAAAACTCTTGCTCTTAATCATGATTTTCGTCTAAAAATATTGTTAATATACATTAAAATGATAGTCAAATGTTTAATCACATTTTTTGCATTATTATTGTTAATTTTACTTATTATACAATCAACGAATGAGATTTTTCATTCTATCTTAAAGAAAATTTTGAAGAGAAACCATAATCGAGAACAATTATGTTAATTTAAGAATAAGAATACGATGAAAACAATTTGAGACATAAATGTGATAATCTGTAAAATTTATGTACTTTTCATGTAATTAAAAATGTACTCTAGTTATTAAAAATGTTGTGAACATATTAAGCCTTTATAGAATCATAACTTATCAATCATAAGCATCATCAATTTTTATTAAAATATATTAAGAGTCTGTTTCAGAGTGATTTTGAGAATTGATTTTTTGATCGTTGGAAGAAAAGTAGGGTTCACATGTGAGAAAATAAGTTAAATATAACGGTTGGAATAGTGAAATAACGGTTAAAAAATTAATTTTTTGGGACAAAAAATCGCTCCTAAACAAACTGTAAAAATATCCTTGAGAATTGATTTTTTGACCATTGGGAGAAAAGTGGAGTCCACATGTGAGAGAAGAAGTCAAATATAACGGTTGTAATAGTGAAATAACGGTCAAAAAATCAATTTTTTGGAACAAAAATCGCTCCCAAACAAGCTGTAAAAATATCCTTGTTTGTGTCCCTCTTTCAATTCATTTTTAACTTCACATTCTCTCACAAAATAATTTTACACGTAAAAATAAAAAAATTTCTCAATTTTTTAATCACACAATCTCCCAAAATTCACTATTTCAAGAAAAAAAAACAATTTTTTTTCGCAAAAATGAGGCTCAAACAAGACTTTAATTTTTAGCTAAATCAAATCTGGATCTAATATATTACATATTATATTGTCCAAACTCTAAACACGTCGTCGATAATATTGACATTGACCACCGGCATTTGGTCAAACTTCAAACCGCCCACAAAGTGAAAATTTTGTGCTTATAATGTACAATCTTTGACCATTGACTCTTCTGCACTCTCCAACTAATATTTTTCTTTCTTTTTTGTTATATTAAATTATTCCCATTCTTTTCCTCTATATATTTTAAATTTTTAACTGCTATTTATATATTGGAAAGCCACCTATATTATACCCAAAAATAATAATAAAAATAATTACTTTGACTTTACAGGGGGAGTGTCGACAATATTTGTAAGAAGGCATTACACCTTGAAGAATGCAAATCAATCTATCAATAAATAAGGAATTATACGAAATAAATTTTATTTATAATGCAAATTTTTATTACATAATTTTACATAAAAATAATCTACATAATATTACATAATTTAAACAAACTCCACATCATCTACACAATTCTTATTCTTCATCTGTGAATATTCAAATTTTAATACCAAAGTTAGAACAATTGCATCCTTTATTTTTTTATTTTTTTTTGTTAAAGTGACTTTGATACCCTTGTTTTTAACTAAAACAAAAACTAAATTAAACCCTCAAAAATAAAAATAAAATTCTATATCTTTTTGCCTTGACTCCAAAGTTGGGCCGGACTTGAGGTGAGTGGCTCTCATCTCAGATCCAACAAGCACATAAAACATTGGAGAATGTTTATTTTCTCAAGGGAACAATATATAAATCCTATATGTAAAAAATACATTTCAAAACTAACAAACTTCATAAAACTTTTCAAAAATCAGGTGATACATTTTTAATTAATATAATGTAATTAATCACACCAAAATTCAAATCCAAGTCCTCTTTCTCTCTCTATTTTCTATCCTTTCCCTATCCCTTCTCCTCATCGGAGGCTACCACTGGCTCCAGCGACTACTACTACCACTTCAACTATTACTTCGGCAATCGTTCCAATGACTCCACAAATTAAAACCGTCTTCTTTCTCTACAGAAGCTTTCTCTCTCTATATATACACATTTACAAACACAAAAAACTTTATAGATGGTGGTGGTGATGGTGAGGTGAGGCTGCGTTTAGAAAATAGATCTGCGTGTTGGCAATGATAATGCATTGTAGGTGATGAATGTACACTACAGTTAATCTGTTTGGTGGTGGTGGTGTGGTGTTGGCAATGTTTTGAATATTGTGTGATGACAGTAGTGTTATAGTCGATAGTGGTGAGCTGACTAGCTCAGATATTGGAGGCGAGCTCACTGGAGCCGACATTGAAATAAGCTTCTACGACGATAGAAAAAGAAAGAGAGATGAAAGAGAATAGAAAAATGATAGGAGCGGTGAGTAGTTAAAAGGATGTTGTATATAAAACGATTTTTATATTAATTCTGTACTAATTAATTGAACTATGAAGAAGTGCTACATCATAGTCCAATCGTTGTTGTTGCTGTTAACCTTAGGTCGTATCGCCTGAAGCCCATAATCCACTGATATGAGTATTCTTTTCAGTTGTGACTCTTGAGAATGCTTAAGACTATACGCGTATTTTTGACATATTTTACGATTTTTTTTAAAATAATTTTTTATTTGTATGTTCTCTAAATCCGTGTTTTCATTGTTGTTTCTATTATGGAACATCAATTCTTAAGATCAAAAAAGTTATGTGAATTTAACCAAAATAAAAAATAACTAACATTTGGATCTCGAAGAAGAGAAGGGCAAAAAATATAAAAGGGGGTTTTGTTGCAAGAATTAATAACTTCTTTTGGACAAAGAAGTAGAACAAATGAAGAAGTAGTGAAAATGTGGAAATTCTCTCGTAAATCTTAATTTCAATCTTGAATTAAGCACGTTTGAATTTATGATCAAATGTTATGTGTATTTGAAGTTATGTGGACATGCAGATTTGAGATTTGCAAAGCAAACTTGATATTTGTCGAACATACTCACCTTTTGTATAATATACTCGAGATTTGACCTGTTAACTTGTCAGATGTTTACAAAATTTGATATTGGACAAGTTAAAACTCATTATATCACCCATCAAATTAGAGATTGTGTACAAAACCTAGTTTGAAATTTCTTCGCCCTTTTTGTTATTTCACTAATCAAACTAGAGATTATGTGCAAAACCCATTTCGAAATTTCTCCGCCCTTTAAAAATTATATATTTCAGATTCAAAGTTAAACCACAATTTTGAACCGCTCAACATGTTAGAGTCAATATTTTCAAAATTAGTTATCCCAATAATTCAAAACTACACGAAAAACATAGGCAATTCAAAATTAACAAACAAATAAAACAACATCAAGAAACATAATGAAAAACCAGCATCTACTCTACATTTACTTATTAAATAGTGTCAAACAATCAATTAACAAATGGTTCGCCAAAAAATTTAAATTTTTAACATTATTATACATGAAGACTTCAATATACAAATATATTGTATAGATCTGAACAAAAGTTAAATGGAATCCATCTAATAAATGAAAAAGAAGAGAAGCTATAGAATATGATTTCAATATTTTTTCATGTCATTCAAAAAGAAGAGAAACCATACTACGATTGGACATTCCATTGGGAGCTCAATATATGAAATTCATTTCATATCCCAAAATCACAGGTCCGACACTGCTCTATCCATTGGCTTGTGGTAGAGTCCACTTATATAACCCTTTTCGACCTATGTTTGATATCCATTTTTATAAAAACCTGTTTTTTTTAGACTAATTTTCAATTACACATTTTCCCATAAAATAATTTTACCATAAATCGAAATTTTTTCTGATTTTTTAAATCACACATTCTCCAAAAAATTACTCTTTCAAAATACATTTCTTACAAAAATGAGACTCAAACGAGGGTTGAGTAAATAGATCTTATGTCATTCCCTTGCGAATTTTACATTTCTTTGGATGAAAATTAGTCATTGGAATGCATAATAAACAAAATTGAAAGGTTGAGAAAGTAAATTCCCCTTTTAATCTTATGAGTTGGCAATCTTTAGTCAAATTAGCCCTCTAATTTGACATGTAAAGTTGTTTAATTAATAAAAGAATTAGTAAATAAATAATTAATTTAGTTTTTCTTCTCTCTTTGGCGATAGCGAGAAGTTCCCGTAACTCCAAAATTTCCTGCCACGTGTAGCGAATCCGTCAACTATTGGCGCAACCAATATTTGCGTTTACAAAAATGCAGTGTCTACAGCAAATCGTTTCACATATTTTTGTTAGAAATCTCACATGTGGGACCTCCACCCACCTCCTGCTGCGTCTATTCTGTGCAGTTCTTGCGAATTGAGAACACCTCATAAATGAAGTCATCATCTTAGAAAAGTCGCAAGAATTCGTACGACTTTAGTTCATACCGTAAAATATTGGACCAAGGGAGACAGGAGACGAAGCTGCTTTGGGCTGCAAAAAATTACTATATATAACAGATTGCTTTGCATACTTTTTTAATGATTCGCAAAATTTAATGCTCGGACAAATGAAGTCTCCTTTGTGGAAGCTGAAAAATTTGACGCTGAATAAAAGCGAGCTCAAGGAAAATTGGGATCGCCGTGCTCTGAGTATAGATGGGCTGTCTCAAGCTGCAAAGGTTGATCTCTTTTTTTTCGCTTATACAATATGATGTTATTGAATTGAGAATTTAAGATCAATTTGTTTATGAACACAGAGCATTGACTATGAAAGTAATTGTGATGGCTCAATCCTGTGAATTCAGGGAAATATTTGACATTATATAAAAATTCGCGAAGTAGAGCATCAGGCTAATTCCAAGTGAAGGTCCAAACCAATAGTGCTTGGGGTGGATTCATGGGTCTGCTTCTAGGCGATATAGGGCTAGATTGCGCATCTTCTATCAGTTATAGCTTTTGGGGAAATGGCCCTCATAGACAAATCTGAAATATGGAAATGTCAATTTAATTTCTTACATAGGGCCTTCCCCCTTATCTTAGTTGCAGATTAGTAGGGTCATGTATACCATACTTTGCTTTGAGTAATTGGACTTTAATTTCAATGTTTGAATGAACAATTGGTAGCGAAGGGAAAGGGGTAAAACTCCTAAAAAAAAATTGTAGTGATGTGTAAAAGGAGTGATTATTGTACTTACATTTTTCTTATGTCAATTTTGTGTTTAAATTGGCAGTTGTTAGTAGCTCTACTTGTTATTGTAATGTTATTTAGATACTTCTTGGAATCTTATTATGCTTCTGCCAACTGCTTTTTATTTGCAGGACATGAAAGAAATGAGAGCTTGGCATGATAGATTACTGTCTGCAGCTGCTGCTACAGCAAATAGTGCTTATGGTAGATACTTGATGTGATGTAATAGCTAACTTTACATAAGAGATTGGCATTATCTTTAGGTGATATAATTAGTTAATTCCAATCAGATTGTTTCTATTTTCAGAGTTTTCAGAGTCGTTGCTGGAGATGGGAAACTGTCTACTGGAGAAAACTGCTATAAATGATCTTGGAGAAAGTGGTGTGTGAACCAGTTCTCTTTGCTTCTAAAAGTTTCTATTTGGAAGCAATCATAAATGATGGGTTTGCCTTGTAAAAGTTGCTCGAGTTGTTGTTTAGGTGCAATCGCTTCGAATGACTGATTCACATACATGTTTTGATGTCAGGATTTTAACTTGTTGTGCACTGTGAGCCAACTCGAACCAGTTTTGAAATTACACTTTCCAAGTCAAAGTCTCTGGTGGCTTTGCTTGACTGAATGAAATTTTGGCAACAAAATAATTAGATCACCAAGGTTGATTTTTGTAGTTATCTGATCAATTTGTGATGATAATAGGGAATAAGTTGCTTGATTTACATGCATGGAACCAATGTTTAAAAAAGGCATAAACAGATAATGAGGTGTTATCCATTTGTGCACACACCTAAAAGTTAAGTAAAAAAATTGAAATAAAACAAAAATCATTTGTCGAGACTGCCAAAGTCTCAGAAACATTGTTGGGGAATAAGAGTTTTGCCAAAATCAGAAAATAAAGTAAAATAATAAGTCTGCATTTTTCATCAAGGAAAACATTCGTAGAGTGCTGCACCCTCCAGAGAAAGGCGTGAAAGCTAGCTGCCTTGCCCCTAGGCCATAGAGAATAAAGCCAACAGTGCTGCTCCGGACTCAGTGAGTGGTTGGGCCTGACTCCGATCATTCGGTTTGCTTAGCTCTGAGCTTATGCTGCCGAAATTGCTGTTCAAAATGCCTGAGAATTTGTTGGAGAGGCATGAGTTGTAGAAAATTAAGATGCTGAATTCTAGAATCTGATATCTGTTTTCTTCTTTGTTTGATTCTTCCTTTTCTTAAGAAAATTATCTGATTTATCCCCTGTTTGGTTTAGCTAAAAATCAAATTTTTTCGTTAAAAGTTGATAAAATGTTTGGTTGAAAAGTTGACAAAAGTTGCATTCCCAAAAAGTGTGGTTAAAATTAATTGTTGACTTTTACTTAGATTTTCATGAACCTTTTTTTTTTTTTTTTTTTTGAACTAACAAAACAAGGGCTTGAATCTTACGTTGACCAAATTTTTTTGCATTTAGATGCCTACATAAGTTATAACTTATATCTGAAATTCCCTTTGATTCCTAAAAATTTGGAAAAGCATAGTTAATTACCATTTTCTTTTGCATGTTGATGCAGGCAGAGTATTATTTATGCTGGGAGGCGTGCAGCTTCAACTCCAAAAACTTGTTGATAGCTATGTCAGTGTTTAGTGTTGTGCCAATCTTTGACAGTGCCCTATATACTTTAGAACTTGGTCCTAACTTGTTTTCTCTACCTCACAGCGGTCTCATATAATCCGTACAATAACAAACCCATCCGAGTCCCTTCTCAGTGAGCTGCGGAAAGTGGAGGTTAGTGTATCAAATTACCAATGTATTCAACCAGGTTTTCTGAGTGTCATTCTAGCGTATTCTGTCTTGTTATCTGAGGATCTGTATCTGGAACATTCCTTATTCTTACAACATGCTGAGGGGGTTCTGCCAAAAATAAATGGCTTTCTTTAGTTCGGGGAGCTTGTATGTGGTATGTAGAGGATTAATCCTGCAGACATTCTTGTAAAGTATGGTTTGCAGAGTAGGCATGGTGTTGTACATACTTAGCCAGCAATATGCTTTTTGTATCATTGATCCAATCAGTTCTGTAAATTGAGATAGAAAAGATTATGCTAATTCCTACTTCCTTCGATGTTTGATACAAAAATATGAATCATATTGTCAAGTATCAGTTGAGAATTTTTAGTAGAGTCATCAACTAAAAATTATCTAAAGCTCATTGGTACATATTTGATTGAACAATTAACCACCCACCCCACCCCCGGACCAACCCTAAGAAAAGAGCTAGCCATGGTGCTTCCTTGATCACGTTTAAACCTTCCAATCATCATTGCGGATAAATCACATAAATCATTTTGGAATTAAATGAAATTCTATTCAATATAATTTTTCTTGGACTGTTTGAGTTGCATTTTTTCCTTTCTTTGTGGGTGCAGGAGATGAAATTGCAATGTGATGAGAAGAGGTATCCATTTCGATTTATCCATAAACTTATACGAAGTATATGGTTGTGTCAACATTTAGTGATTGCATGCATGATATGCAGAGAGATGTTTGAATGCATAGTGGGACAACATAGAGAAAAGGGAAGGTCAAGACATGGAAAAGAGCCGAATTTTACTTCACAGCAATTGCAGGTTGCTCGTGAAGAATATGATGAGGCTTCAAGGCTTTGCATTTTTCGTCTTGAATCATTGAAGCAAGGGCAATCACGGAGTCTTTTAACACAGGCGGCTCGCCATCATGCTGCACAGGTATTATCAAGTTTTGATCAATTCAAATGTCAGAATGCTTTTAAGGTTTTCTGCTAGCCAGTGCTTTTCATTCATCAATTATTTCCTGAAAGCAGTTTAATCTTTTCCGGAGAGGTTTTCTTACTCTCGAAGCAGTAGAGCCACATATCGAAGATGTCGCCATAAAGCAACATATTGATTACAAGCTACGTAGATCGGATGATGTGGAAGTTTCGTATGATGAAAGGAACAGTTTCCAGACTAATGATGATGGAGAAATAAGTTTTGACTATCGACAAACTGGGGAGATAGAAAATGCTTATACACCAAAGAGTTCTATGCAGGTAGGTTGCTTGCTATTATTCTGCCTCAGATTCTACTTGAATCATTACCATATGATAATGTTTATTTCTTAAAACCCTTTTCTTTTATGTTTTTCTTTTTCAAAGAGCTACTTCATCTCTTTCAACCTGTATAATTCTGGAATCCCCTTGGCTCTGAGTTGTAGAAACGAAATAATATCTAAGAGTATAATCACACACTTCTCATTACCGTGGGATGCCACTAGTGAGTATGCAATATGTTTCTGCCTCTTGGGCAATTGGTAATTCTTTCAATTGCAATCTACAGTTCACAGAAACAAGTGATTACTCAAAGCAATATCAACATACCTTACAATTTATGTGACTTAAGTGCATCCAAAGCCCAGTATAATAGTTTGGCTTCTGGTGAAGTGAGAAAATTTTCATCTATATATATATATAGTGTAATACCCCAGATTTTCCAATGTAGCTTTAAGTGCAAAGTTAACACTCGGGTTTGAGATCTCGGGGCATTACATATATTGTTTGGCAAAAGTCAGCTAACACGTCTCTTTGAGAGCAATAGAAAAATATTGGAAGCGAAAGATACTTCGAAGATGAACTTGTTACCATGCAATAGTTAGGATTTTTTGACCGTATAAAGCTGGAACAACCTGTTCTCACAGAATACTTCGCCTTTCTTATCTTCTTCCTACCCTAGGAGGAATAGCACAAAAATAGGGATTAGTATTATAGGTCAGTTAACATGTCTCATTGAGGGAAAAAAAATTTGGTAATTTTAATTAGGCACGTCATATTTTCTCGTGCACTTCAATTGCCATATCACGATTCACGCTGACCTTAAAATGACTAGTTCAGTCTTCTACTGTTTACATCATATGATTTTATGCAGATAAAGTTTGGGAAAAACCAAGTCGAGAAAAGTCCCCGTCCACAACCTCGAGTAAGTAGCTATTCAGCTCCAATATATGCAGAGAAGTTTGATGCTGCTGAAAGACTTAAAGAAATGCAGGCAGCGGTACAGAAACTTAATATGAATGTGCTTCCAACTCCTGCTGCTGAAAAGAGTTCGACCTCAAAAACAAGTAATTCTGCGATCCTGTCAACTCCTACAGGCATTAGTATAAACTCCAAAAACCCTTGGCATTCATCCCCACTCGATATTAAGAAGAGTGGAAAATTCACTGAACATAAGAAGAGTCCATTTGTCCCACTACCTCGTCCTTTGGCTGAGCGAGCTACAGTCTCACAATGGGATACTCAAGGTGGATATGATATTCAAAAAAGACAATCTATTTCTGGTCCATTGTCAAGTAAACCATTGTATAGCAAGCCTCTGTCATCTATCAGTGGACCCACTGGCTCTACTGAATCACCTCAAATGGTTTCTGGATTACTTTCTCGCTTACCTCTCCCCCCGCCAAATGTGTCCTATGGTGCTTCTCCCCCGCTTGCATCTTCACCAAAAATAAATGAGCTTCACGAGCTCCCCAGGCCCCCCGATTTCTTAGGCTCCAAGACTGTGCAAACTTCTGCTGTATTTGGGCACTCTGCCACCCTCGTCAACAGGACTCAAGAAATGTCTCCAACAAATATGAGTCCTTTGCCATCACCAAAAATGGGGTCTCCACTTCCACTTCCTCCACTAACTGTTCCTCAACGTTTCTCCATGCACTCTAGTCAACAGAAAGCAATGCCTATACATGCAGGGAAGGTGTTTGAATCTTCTCAATTTGAAGACAAAATGGAAGAAGTGAGTTCTCCTCCATTAACACCCATTTTGCTATCAAATATGAAATCCCCAGATTCCGGACAGATGAGAGGTAGATTTAATGCTGCATTGATACCAGTTTGTACTTGTACGTAGACTGTATTTTCTTTTTACTATTTTTAATTGACATCATGATGAATATTTCGAACATGTCAGGGCCTTGTATACGATAAATCACTATATACATCATTTTGAATTTCTTACTTTTGTTCTTTTTGGATTGAGAGCATGAATATGGAACAATATTACTCGCAACAACCAACAGTCCAACCCCCCCCCCCCCAAACCGGAATTCTACCGTGCCATTTTATCATTTCCGAGTTGGCAGAATGAGTCTAAAAAATGGTGTAATGAATAGTGTTGCACCAAATATGATGCAACACTATTCATGTTGCACCATTTTGCACCAAAATTCGGTGCAATGGTTGGAGGAAGTTTGCACCAAATTTTGGTGCAATTTGGTGCATCCATTGGAGATACCCTCACAATCCCCAATTTTTCATTTCATTGCAGCAAAAAAACAAATCAATGGCTTCCATTCATTTCATCGTTAGTTGACCAAAAAAATAAAAATTTGACCCCTTTTGGCCAATTTTGACTAAATTTAAAACGGCAAAATTGTAACTTTACAATTCCCACATGAAATAATTAAAAAATTAAATAAAAGGGAGAGAGAGAGGGAGGAAAAAAGAACTAATTTATTCTTCTTCTTCTTCTTCTTCTTCTCCAGATCTTCTACCTCCACTCCATGACTCGCCTAACCCAAATCAAAACCTGCATGTATTATTTCTTGTCACAAAAATAATTTTTTCTTTTAAAAATTCGAATACTTTTAAAATTATTCCTCTATAGTCACTAAACTTTACAATTTATTGAATTGTCACTATACTTTATTGTTATTTGCTATGCATCACTTTGATTTTTTTTTATTTTTTATTTTTTTGAAATTAATGATTATCCTTGGCATGCGATCAAATGTTATTTTCAAAGGAAAATTCAACAATTGAAACATCGAAAGTGGAATGACTATTTAGGAAAAATATAAAGTTCATTGACAGTTGAAAAATATCATTAAAAATACAATTGCAGGTCATCAAGATTTTCAACCTCAATATTTGGTTACATGAAGATATTACTTCTGAATCATATGTTAGTAAAGATGAAGGCATTCATAGTGTTGACACATAAAAATTCGGCCCAAATCGAACAGCCCAAGGAGTGAAGCCCAATTGGAGGATCCCCAAATCAGATAGCCCAAAGAACAAAGTTCAATCGAACAAATCAAGATGAAGGCCCAAATAAGGAGGCCGAAGAATGCGGTAACGCCATCGCCCAAGTTTGCAAGTCGCCCAGAATCTGAACGAATAGAGTGTCATACGGTCGCGCAGAACTGTTACTCTATTCTCGCTCAAACCTTCAAGTCGCCCAAGGTATTAACAAACATAACGCGTCGTGGTTATTAAGAAGTGCAATAATCAAAACAGTTATTAAAGCAGCCTTATCACGTTACACGATTCAAGGAATTCAATCGAAAGCGGTTAAACGATGAAAGGTAATGGCAGCAGTTAAAAGGCAGTTTTCATAACAAGGTGGCCATTACGAAGAAAGTGAGTAGTTATAAGACGATCAAGCAGTTTTCAGAGTAGTTGATCACAAAGAGATCGTCTATGAAGTATAAAAGGGAGAAAGGACATAGAATCAAAGGACCGAATCCAAAACTCTCGAACAGAGAATATGTAATTTTCATTTCCTTAGTTTTTAGATTTAAATACTTTTCTTTCAGTAACTCGTGTGCTTGCGCCCTTTGGAGGCACGTTGTTTTTCATTTCCAATTGTAAAGTCATCGCCAATAAAAGAACACCCCTTTTTGGGACTTTGTCTCAAGAGATTTGTCTCTTACACAATCGTCTGACCCTTTTTAATTATTAGCGACTAACCCGCGCGAAACAATTTGGCACGCCCGGTGGGACAGTGGTGTTAGGTGTTGAAAGTACAAAAGGGGAAACAATATACCTCAAAGATCCGATAAGGAAGCAGCAAGTCAGGGAGGAATCCAGTCTGTAATCGAGCGATATGAGGAGCAGCATGCCTCTCCACGAACAGATGGACAAAATCAGAGCAGTAACAGTCGTTACCAACCAATGACGGAGTTGAGTCCTCGAACCATGCGTGCATTACTTGGAGAACTCACGCAAGACGTCGTTGAACAGGTAAATCTTCGAAGTATTCATAATATGGAAAGATTTACACAAAATGGGAATGTACACTATGACAACATGGCCAAACAACTAAAGACGTTGAATGAAACAATGAACAAGTTAGTAGGCCAAATATATCAACCGGCTATACCTCTTACAAATCACTTTCAAACTAGGACAATTGTAGGACATAATCCCTCGGTCCTAAATCCGAGTCAAGGGGTAGAACCACTTTCTGGTCCCTCTACTTCAAACCAAGGGGGTACTACAGTACCAAATCAAAGCAATGGTAGTGGTATGCCTAACTTGGGGGGTAATCCAAACGTGAGAGATAATGTCCTAAATAATGGACAGAATATTTCACGTGGTAACGAAGGAGTAGATGTTCAGGCTAATGGTAATGGCCCTAATCATGGTAATTTTGTTGCCAATCAAGGACCAAACATCAGGCCTCATGCAAACCGACCGGTTAACCAACCTGTAGGAATTCCATATGACCCCAATGTTATGTTGAGGAACCAGATTATGGAAATCCTACAGGATCAGATGGCTTTTGGGGTGCGTCCCGTCATTAGGCCGATGTACACAAAGCCATACCCTGATTGGGTAGACCAAGCATATCCATGGCCTAGAGGATACAAAGTGCTAGAATTCTCACTGTTTACCGGTTTAGGAGAGGTGTCTACTCTAGAACACATAGGGCGATTCACATTGCAAAGTAGTGATGTAACCGATTACCATAAAATGAGACTTTTCCCTAGTTCGTTAACAGGAGTAGCTTTCTCCTGGTTCATCAACTTGCCAGTGAACTATGTTCAAACATGGCAACAATTGGAACAGTTGTTTCACGCTCAGTTTTATAAAATCGAGTCTGAAGTCACTTTGGCCGATTTGGCGAATTTACGTCAAATGCCAAATGAGTGGGCAGAAAGTTTTCTCCAAAGGTTCAAGACAGCAAGAAGCAAGTGTTTTGTACCTCTGCCCGAAAAAGAATTTGTCAAGATCGCTCAAGGCTGCTTGAGCTTTGATTTAAAAAAGAAGTTCCAGGACAAGGAATTCTCTGACATTTTTCAGTTGAGTGCGAATGTGATTAGGTATGAGCGACTGATAAGAGAGGAAGAATAAATGAAAAATTCTAGTAAAGTGACTTATTACAAAGACCCAAATTTTGACGTTCATACCATCGACGACGAGTCATACGATCAGGCCGAAATGTGTTTGGCCGAATTGGTCAAAGGGGATACATATACTTGTCCCATAATGGCCAAACCTAGACCATCGGGCAGAGATGAGCCCATAAATGATGGAAACATAAAGGCTAGAACATTCTCGTTCGACGTGACCAAAGCTGACCTTATATTCGATAAATTATATAGGGATAAGCAGATAAAGTTGAGCGATAAGCACAAATTGCCAAACCCTGAACAAATTAAGGGTAAAAAATATTGTAAGTGGCATAATGCATGGTCACATTTGACTAACAATTGCTTGGTTTTCCGTCATGTATTGTAGGATGCCATTGAATCAGGACGAATTACGTTCGATGATAAGAAAAAGATGGCAGTGGACGAGAACCCTTTCCCACAGCCACTTGCAGTAAACATGGTAACATCTGGATTCAAGAACAAGTTACCAAAATTCAAATTGGTCATAGATGACGGAGAAGAAGATCCTAGACCACATCCCAGCGTCTTTGAACGAATCAAAGGAAAAGAACCAAAAAAGGACGAAGACGTCCTGTGTGCAAGGTGTAAAAGGGAAGTAAATGGAAACACGGAGAAACCAGGCACATGGCAGCATCCTCATCGCCCTGCCTTCTTCCCAAACATTCAGCCTGGTAGAGGGTGAGGTACATCATTCTATAGAGGACCGCTTTTTGAAAGGCAGTTTAGACCAGCAGATACTGGAAGAACATTTAGGCCGCAACCTCACCGGCCAAATGTATGGCATTCATTCCAGTACAGTGCAGGAAGGGCAATACCCTTCGATGAGATGACTAGGACCCAACAAAGGCGTTTCCAACGAAACTACGGACGGATGATGAGGCAGCAACAAGGAATGCCACATCCTAAAGCGCCTATACTACTCAAGGTAGCCAATCAAAACGTCCTCAAAGGTAGTAAAGAAACCGGTACAGATGAATCAATGAAGGAACTGCCAGAAACCTCTTCTGGGAGATCAAGGTTTGAGAGGGACAAGAGGGATGAAGAAGATCCAGATCAACCTCTTGCTATCCAATTCGGTACGTTGTCTCCTGTCGTGGCCAATAATTACCTACTGGCCAATGAATTCAAGAATAAAGAAAAGGAAGAAGAGAGGGAGGACAAACGAAGGAGAAGCCTGCGTGTTGGTATGTGAAGAAGGCCAGACTTCTGGAGAGGCCTACAACGACGAGGAAGACGATGGGAT